TGTCATTAGCACCTCTATTAATGTATTTACTGAGAAAAATGGTGACGTGTTCAATACTTGTTTTACCCGCTGTATATCGTTGCACAATTTGAGTTTCACCACCTGCTTCTGTCTGAAATAAACAGAAGCACCTTCCAGTGTTCAGAGAGAGCATTACTATGACCTTAAAAAGTCTGTGACATGCATATCCTTCAAAACACATCTTTATATTTAAGAAACTTAGCATAATACTTTTACATTTTACACATTCTGTCATATAACTGGCATATTTTATATTGAATTTGGCTAAGCCAAATTAAAACAGGAAGTGACATCAAAGGGATCTCTTTAATAAAAGGAACTCCCTGAGCTTTATTTATTGAAACAATAATATGTTAACTCTGACTCTTCATCTCTGATAGTGACTCACAAAAATCTGAAGAAACATCAGATTGTTAATAGCAATGCTGTTTAAATGCAGACCTTCCCCTTTGACATCACTTCCTGTCACTTTACATTTAAATATCTCAACAACTGTTCATCTCAGGACAGTGGTTTTCCTTTTGCAATATGTTCTCAAGCTTATCTTTTCAAAAATGTATTAGTATTTAAAAATTTGATGTCACAGGCACTTTAAGGAAATCTAGATTTTTGTAAAACCCCCAGTTTGAACTAGTCTGAAGAGGCACTGCACTGCAATTCAGGGAATAAGTTTGTGGAATTGTCTTGATACTGATATAAAAACTTCCAAAATGATCTGTGTTTAAAAAGATGATTAATTTGAATTTACTGGGAAAATATGATACCATGTAGTATTTAGTTGAAACAAGATATGAAGGATACCYTTTTTTGTTTGTTTTTATTTTTAGCAAATTTGAAGATTATTCTGGCTTGTTTGTTTAAAGTTATTTTGTTAATTTTTTTCTTCACTCTGTACCCTTTTCATTCAGGGATTGATGTACTYTGTAATTATGCTACCATCAATTGTGAATGTGAATCATACAGTGATGGGTTGTACCAATAGTACTTTTCTTGATGGAACTAACAAAGAAGAAATACTGAGTATTGTTAAAAATCTTGCAAACAAAAAATCGAAAGACTGGGTAGACATGTTTTTGTTTTTAATGTGTATAAATTTTTTTTTTTGTTTTAAATGAAATGAATTAACTAACTAACTAACTAACTAACTAACTAACTATGCTACCATCAATTGTTATGGAAAAGCTGTATATGAAAAATAAATTTCAATTAGCATCTCAATACTTCTTTGAGAACCTCCTACCGTTTCTGACATTCCCACTTCAACACGTCTTCACAACAATGATTCGAGGGAGGGGTGCTCTGTGGGGCGGGAGTTTGGCTGGAGACTGAGTTCCAGGGAGGAGCTTTGTAAAAATAGGCGGTGCTTTGTACCAACAAGTGTTTAGGCAGCTCCACATGGCTCCACAGGAGGTTCATGATTTCTCCAACATGCATGAATGATGAAAGCAATACTCTGGGTATGTTTTTGATGAGGAAATGACTTTATAACAAGATATAAAGCTCAAAAAAAGTCAATTTAATGAAATAACTAAATAAATATGTTATTGTGCACAAACAGACCTAACATGAACTTTCTTTAAACTCAAGTTTGTTTGATTTCACTCCRGTTTGTAGTTTAACAAAGAACCTAGTGGAAAAATAAATACAGAGCTTTGTTTCAGCGTTCATGTTAGATATTATTTCTCAGTATTGTTTGTGGTTTCACTGAAATAAAGAAAGGAGACACACAAAATAATATTTAAAAATAAATGCAAGATACAAGGGAGCAATTCATTGCAAGGAAAGGTTGAAAAAAAAGGGGATTGAATTTCCCCTTCACCCCCAACATGGCAGAAAGGTCACCACATAGTTTTTTTTCTCCACGACGRCAAAGGACCCAGCATACAGGAAGTGCAAAAATTGACTCTCTGGAGATTTTCTGAAAACAGCAGCATCCATGAAGGAATGCTTTTCTTTTTCTTACAAACACATCCTTGTACTTGCATCAAACTGCCTTCGTATTGACGTCCATTCATATTTGTAACCGTATTTATGCCTAACCCAGACATTTTCCCTAAAACTAACCATTATTAGCCTATTCCTAACCCTAACTTTAAACCAAAACTTAATTCACACCATACCTCTAAATTTAACCAGTAAAGGACAGTGGAGCTGAAGAAAAAGTGAGGACTGGGGAAATGTCCTCACTTCCCAAAAAATGACCTCACTTAGTTGGGTAAAAAAACCTAACATAGTTCTCACCCTGTAGCAGAAACAAGTACACACACACACACACACACA